GTGCAGCCATTCAATCTACAGGGATAGAATTACGTTGAACCACCTTGATTTTCTTCTTTCCCAAAGGATTTTTCTGCAAATGAAGATCATATTTCTTTGTAAAAAATAATCGGATTATCTGTTGGACTCTAGTTTTAAGATTTACTGGATAGAGAAGATTCCGAACATTTTATGTTCAATACAGTCTTGGACAGAGAAATCATTTTTCCCGCATCACTAACTCATTAATTATTTAAAAATGATAAAATCTTAACCTTAGATAGAATAATATTGGTGAAGAAGTAACTTATTCGGTTCTAACTGTATAATCTATACTGTTCAACTCTGATAATTATGTCAATATACTACTACTACCACTACTACTACTACTACTACCCACACTACTACTACTACTACTACCCACACTACTACTACTACTACTACTACTACCCACACTACTACCACTACTACTACTACTACTACTACCCACACTACTACTACTACTACTACTACCCACACTACTACCACTACTACTACTACTACTACTACCCACACTACTACCACTACTACTACTACTACTACTACTACCACTACTACTACTACCCACACTACTACTACTACTACTACTACTACTACTACCACTAGTACTACCACTACTACTACTATGTCATTATTAGTAGTACTGCCAATTTTATTTATTTCTGGACATCACCATTCAACGTAGAGCAGACAATACGCTTCGACATCTTTTTCATTGAGAGGATATATGGAATTATTGATAAATATTCTTAATTTCCTGTTGATCATTATAATGGACTGAATTGACCGTTTATTGTCGACTTAGTTATGTCTTGAAAGGACACCTAGATATTAGCATAAATCTCATTATTATATAATCTGGTTAGCGGTAGCTAGTAGTGCAACCTAAGAAGTGTGTTTCACTTTATTGATAATTCATGATCTAGATGTACCTGAATACTGATAATTGAGAATGTTTTTAACCCAGTAACCATCGCTTGGGAAGGTAGAATGTCATCTACCAGACTACTGAGCCACAGAAGACACATTTTATGCAGTAGGTATCAGTTACTTCTGATTCATACTTGATAAGTCACAAGCTGAACGAAATGGACGTCCAGGATTCTTCTGAAAACCACTATCAAACAAATTTAATGCATGGGAGCTCGAGTAATTGGATTTTTACATTTTCTTTTCAGTTAGGTATTCAGGTGTCTTAGTCTTATGGAGAGAAGATCATATCTTGAAATGATAAGATTGGTGAAGACTTATTCATCAATAAACATGAACGAGGCTACGACTATTTACACTGCAATATCAACAACTACGGAATAACAGTTAGACTATCTGTGATATCCATACTTCGGCAGACTGGTAGGTATACTGGGTGATGACTGAAGGTGAAGTCTAAGCGGCAGCAGGATTCGACCCAGCGACCTCCATGTTTCTAGCCCATTGCTTTACCAACTGAAGCATGAGAAGCAATTGAAGACTGGGACTTAATTCCATCTCAGTCACAAAAGGTTTTACTTGTTCGAATCCTCCCTCTGCTCAGACTTTCATTTCACCTTCAATCATCACCCAAAAACGGTAATACAAGAGTGCAAAACCATGGCTCTCTTTGATAACCAAACTGATGAATCAGTATGATGCTCCCCCTATCTAAATCATGGTACGGCCAATGTACTCAACTCCACAAGAACAAGTAAACTGGTAAACACACATTCATGTGGCCCAATGTGTCGGCTTGTCTTTCACCCATGGAATCTGGAATTCAAAAGTGATATTGCTGAAGAGATCCTGAGGAAACGACTGTCAAAATACATCAACAAACTGAACATACTTCACCACCAACCTCCTCATAATTTTCTCCTACAAGAAACTTTTCGGTCAATATGCGACAAACCACGACTCGCTTTGATAACCAAACTGATTAATCAGTGTGATACTCCTCCCCTCTAGAACAGGATAACTTAGATTTGGAGAAGTTTTGACGTGCCAGTCAATGTGAATATGATTAAACGATAGTAAAGCACCATGAATTAACGTGGCAGTGGGGGAAAATGCATGATGATTAACATGAAGTATAGAATGATTCAAATTAAAAACATGAAGAGAATCGCAGTGAAAATAAACTTTGTCATCGAGGTGGAGCAGTTTGGTTGTTGTATAGCAACGGAAAAGTGTAAGTATCATATCAAGTAGTGATACCTGTTGCACGAGAGGTGTCTACCATGCTCGAGTGACTTAGTCGATAACACTTTGTCATATGAAGCAATGGATACTGCGTTGAGTTTCATTAGGAATAACACCACTCACTGGAGTACATATATGTCCAGTTGACTAATGCCAAATAGGACGAAACGCGCGCCTTGGATTCTTTTACTAATCACCGAAATGAATAAAACTTGGTCATCGTCCATATGATTCAAAAGAAACTTGAAGGCGATGATGATCGGAATTTATTCGGAATCTAAGTTGGTCATATTGTTACAAACAATTTATGTTTAATGGCTGTCAAAAGTTTCATACATGCACTTCTTTGTTTTATTTTCACTTGGATGTACCAACATAGTCGCATCCACCAAATCAGTAATATTGGAAAGGAAAATCAACCCATTTTACATACCTTCAACCTATCCTTTATGCGCGGATGGGGGAGGGACGATTCCTGAGCAACTGACTGACACAGGGTATTAGGTATGTTCTTCAAAGTCCTATATCGTGAATAAAAATGAAGATGCCTACCTCAGAATGGTAGGAGCTATTGGCAGGTACACCATTTACTAAAATGTGATTAGCTCATTTGCGCAATCTTATCTTACAGGGATTCATCCATGTTTAGAATAGCACTGAATGACATGGACTGAAATCACCAAAATGAAAGTAGTCTCTTTCAGGTTTCGAACATGCCTTGCTGAAGAGTACTGACAAGCATGAAATTTGCGTCATCCAGAGCTTCTAGCTGATTGATTCTCAACATCTAATACACTGCAATACCATATCATTCAGTTTGTTGGTATTCACAATGGACTGATAATAGTTGGAGGAACATTCGAAACCTGGACAGATTTTTCGTCCTAGTATGGGACTCCTTAAAAGTGCACACCCATGACCCCGTACCCCGGGGCTCGAACCCAGAGCCTTCGGGTTCCGTGACCACCACGTTACCATTGAACCAATGGATCAGAATCCAGTGTTCCATATTTCCAACCTCTTTCAGTTCATAACATAGTGCGGCCATCACTGTATGTCATCACCAGGTGTGGACTGCTGAGGGGTATCATACTAAAACGAAACAGCTGTCCAGTGCTCCCATGTTTCCAATGTTACACCAACTGATGTCAGTCCATGATGAAGACCAACTTGAATAATCACTAAATCCTCACAAACCTTCAAATTAACTCAATCAGTGTTTAGCCCTAAGAATAAAACAGTTAAATCGACTATCCACTAGTGACCAGTTCATATTTAGTCACTGGATTTCTAATTTAATTGTTCATGAGCGTGTTAGTTTTTGCACTTAATTAGCAACACATAGTTCTTCTTTATACTTTTGTACCGAATTCCATTTCATTTAAGTGAGGCTAACATCTATCAGTTTGAATATTTTGTCTTTTAAAGACCCTCAGTAGGCTGCTGCTAACCTCAGTCCACTTTCAGCTGATCATGTATGCTGTTAATGAAATCATATTTGAACACATACTGAACGACCTGATTCAGTGTTCCCTGATTATCATGCGTCTGACAAAAGAAGCTACACCAACTTTGTTGTATACACTCTGGATATTTTATTATTTCAGTAGTATTGTAGTGGGTGCTGCTGATAAGAATGGATATAAGTACTATATGTTGAAAGGTTGGCAGAAATCATAGGCAATTACCAGCAATGGGTAAAGATTCTGTACAAAGAAGCGCAAGAAACAATATGGGTGTATTACGAGCAAATCGAGATAGAAGCAGAAGAGGAAATGAAGCACATTATGCAGATGACTGTCTGTGGATATTCATTCGAAATGCAGCCACCTCCTGTCGAAGGTTATGGACTTGTTTTCTTCAGTTAGTTATCTCTGGTGACTCCATCGCAGCTACTGATGTATCCATTAGCTTTCTGGTCACCTTCGCCAGCTCACTAATACCCATGTGTTGGGTTGCGTTCAATAGTCTTAGGTGTTGGGAGATGGCATTCAGGACAATTTCGATGAACTGTGCAGCCAGCAACTGTGCCTGAGAGTCCTCATCCATAGTGCGAAGTGCTCGCTGGAGAAGCTTTATCAACTTCACAGCCAATACCAGCAGGTCTTCGTCTATTCCAATTTTCATGCTCTGAAAATGCCGCATCGCCAGCTCCTTTTCTACTAGGCTGTCAAACACTGCCTCCAGGCGTTCAACCATACTGTGCCAAGTTCCCTTTCTATCCACACATTTCACGTCATCATATGCCACTCTTTCGCTGTAATCCTCAGAAACATGCCAACCACCACAACCTTTGCTCCTGGATCCCAGACACTCACTAGCTCCGCGACCGACTCGAAGTCCCTGAGGAAGACCTTGATGTCTCCACCTTCAAAGACTGCAGGCCACGGAATCTTTATCACGTCCAGAAACAACAACACCAATTGTAGGAAACGAAGGGACTGAGATGAAGGAAGGGATGTACAATATTTCATCACTACTGTAGAAGATGCTATAATAAACATCCTATTCTGTTTCTCTTTCTTGTCGTTTCTTATAGTATAAACTGTATACAAGTGGGTGATTTCATAATGAAATCTAAATTCTTATGCTTCCTCTTTTTCTCTAGTAAAGATTTTCGATCAACTGCTTTATACTGACCAATAATATAAAGTTAGATGCTTGAAATGAAAATTGTGAAGTGGCTAACGTGTGAATACCAGTTTTTCTTGTCATATTTTCCTCTCGCAGTTATTCAATTGGATTTTTTCTTCCCTTAAAGAATTAATTAAGTGTCTTTCATTTCTTTATTGGTTTCTTTAGTATTTCTAATGATTAAATTTAGACAAATAGTCTCTGTGTAAATTAGTTAGAAACCGTCTTTTATGAAGTTTAATAGTAGTAGTAGTAGTAGTAGTAGTAGTAGTAGTAGTAGTAGTAGTAGTAGTAGTAGTAGTAGTAGTAGTAGTAGTAGTAGTAGTAGTAGTAGTAGTAGTAGTAGTAGTAGAAGTAGTAGTAGTAGTAGTAGTAGTAGTAGTAGTAGTAGTAGTAGTAGTAGTAGTAGTAGTAGTAGTAGTAGTAGTAGTAGTAGTAGTAGTAGTATTGTCTACCATTGTTGTTGTGTTTTAATATAAATGGTCATGAGGAGCAGTTACTCACGAGGGAACCAGTAGATGCATACGTACAGACACATACACTACTACTGAGCGCAATAACAAAACATCATCAGTAATCACCACAGTAATCACGATTAATATTCCTTCATCTGTCTATCGATACAATAAGCAAGCAAACATACTATTTATCAATTGACAAGGCAAGCATCGAGGAAAAAAGAGAAAAAGTGGTAGTGGTAATAATAATAATAGTAATACTATACAGTTGGACAAGCTATGTGGATATGCATAGATGCATGCACAACGAACAAACAAGCGCACACACACCTACATGCCTGATGACACATTTAGATACTCATGTGTATGAGAATGAAGATGATCTCGGTTTCATCCTTCTACTTTTAGTAGTGATGAAAAGATTGGCGAGAAGGAATTAAGGAGAAATACAGCCGTTTTGCATATATCCTAAAAATCTATCAAAAGTAGCAGATGGCATTTAAACAGAATAAGCAATTATCACAATTTGGTTGGTTGTGGCTAACAGAAGAATCCATGACGCGCGTTTCGTTCTATTTCAGATTTACCTGCACTCCAGTGATGTTGTTCCCACTGACACTCGAACCTCATACCCATGCCAACAGAGGTCGAACAATTCTATCCAACACAACAAACAACGGAGAATAACAAGTATGTCAATAAATAGTAATAACTACTACCCGTTGTACAAGAAGTGGATATTATTCCTCCATGGCATAGTGGATAACGCCTCAGCGTTTGAAACGATGCTTACGAGGTTCGAGTCTCAGCGGGAACAACATCACTCACTGGGATGCAAGTACATCCAACTGACAAGTCTCAAATAAGGCGAAACGTGCATCCTGGATTCTTCTGCTAGCCACAACGAACCAAATTGTTATAATTAACATTCGGGCAATATAGAGGCATCCACATAGGAGCCTATATATCAATAGAGGTTGAACAATTCGATTCAGCAAAACAACGGAGAATAACAAGTATGTCAATAAATAGTAAGAATAAGCAATTATCACATTACTTTATCATAGTATATTAATAAGCTGATGTGATTGAAACTGACATGCTTTGCAGATGGTCAAGTAGGCCATCCATTTAATCAAATTACTGAATAATGTAAAAATTTTGTGAGTTGATTTATTTATTGTTGTCATTGTGACTATTTCACTCAGCTTTTAAGATATTCTTGATACATCAGTGTTATTGTTGAAGTCTTGATTTCATGTCATTTAAATAAGTCACATATAGCAGTGATGTAGGTGTATTTATGCCTTTTATTATTATTATTATTTGTCTCTTGAGTTCCTAGTGGAACATAGGGCTTCACTACTACGACGCCATTTCATTCACTTCTCTGCACTCTTCTCAACTGACTCCACCACTTCTCATAAGTTTTCATTTCTTCCTCACATGATCTCCTCTATATCACCCTCGACTAGTACGCTCAATTCGTCGTTTCCCATTTGGCTTCCACTTGAGCGCCTGGCTTGGTGTGTGATGTCCCCAAAAGGTCTTCTCAGTGTATGCCCAATCCATCTCCACTTCCTTTTGCATATTTGTTGGATGATAGGTTCTTGCTTGGTTCGTTGCCAGCCGGCCAGAGTTCCTTGTTGCTTATCCTTTCTGGCCATCTGATCTTCTGCATTGAGCGTAGACAGCTGTTGGTTGATGTATGTCTGTGGTTTGTTGGAAGTGCTTTTCGTAACGCGCCAAGTCTCTGTCTGTCTTAATTCCATTTAAATAGTGATATCTTACATTACAAGTGTCTTTATGTTAGATGGTGGGAGATAATCAACAGGGAACCATGCTTTATATAAATGTTGTGCTTGTAAGCAATCATCAGCAAGATACATTTAAAACTATCCCGAAGGGGACCGATGTCCTCTGAGAGATTCAAACCCCGGCAGTCAATGCTGCGGTCGGAGATATGATAATTGTTTGTTCTCTTACTCTGCATGTCTCTTGGTATTATTACTTCCATCTATTTGTCTGTCTGTCTGTTGCTAACTTCTACATCAATGTGACCTGGTACTACAGATAATATCTTATTACTATTTTTTGGCATACTTGCAATTCTGTCCAATCAATCTACCTCCATTGGTATATGGGCTCCTATACGGATGCCTCGATATTCTTTGAATATTTATTATGATAACCTACCTTATTATGGCTAGAAGAAAAACGCAGGAAGTATATTTCGTCCCATATTGGACTGGTCAGCTGGATGTACCTGCATCCCAGTGAGTGATGTTGTTCCCACAGCGACTCGAACGCAGTACCCATCGCTTCAAACGTCGAAGCCTTATCCTTATCACTTACCTGGTGAATAAGGCTTCAGCGGTGAAGCAATAGATACTGTGTTCGAGTCTCGGTGGGAACAACAACACTCACTGGGGTGCAGATACATTCGGCTGACGAGTTCCAAATGGGACGAGACCTGCGTCCCAGATTATTCTGCTAGCCAGTTTTACATTTTACTAAGTGGATGGCTTTTGTAGTACAATTCGCATAATTCGGTTAAGACTTATGACTAGATAACACAAAATGAATAATCTGTAGTTACCAGTGAATGTGCGTAATGCAGTCGTACAGGAGGTTAATGGTGGCCTGTGAAGCTCCGTGCGATTCTGAGTGATGTAGGTTTATACCACGGAGGGGAAATAAGTTCCCTTCAGGTTTCAGATAAAAAAGAGAGGATGGATTGCATAGTGCATGAAACCAATGTCAGTCAGGGTGAAGTCACACCAACTATTTAATTAAGGTTAACATTGTGTATGCTGACTTATCTTTATACGTGATGTTAACTGATTCAGGATTGGGTTCGAAGAAAGCTAACGATAGGCTAATCAGAACGCTTCACTAGTCCTTGAAGTTTCCTGTACTGTTGGTGTGGTTTGGTGTATAGAAATGAAGGTTACCCTGGTAGGGTTGTCATAATTCTACAGATCAATGGTTGGAGGTCAATAATGACCTAACTTGCTCACGGCAATGCACATGTATTGACATTTTATCACCAGAATTCAGGACAATTTTACCAACCTGTATTTATTTATTGTTTCTCCTTTCCGCTAGTTATAATTTCACTCACTTTCTGTTCTTCACCTTTTTTGTTCTATCATAAAGTGTAGAGAAATAGACCAACGCACTCCTATGCAAGGTTCTACTTTGATCCAACTGTTTGTCATGTGTATGATGAACAAACTTATGTGTAATTAGTAGCTGAATAACCACACACACGCTCACACAACTCACCAATCAGCAGTTTCCAAACCATTCATTGTTTACTTACCCTGGAACTAGTTGGAAGAAGCGTAGATATGAACAGTATATAACCTGACACCGTAGGATAAATGATTGTTGTGTCATATTCGCATCTATAAATGTCTCGCACTTCTCTGGATGGGATTTGAGAGGAACAACCCAACTCAGTGGCCTGAGACAATAGTATACACGGATGAAGGCTGAAATCAGCGAGAATGATACTACAGTTTTCGTGGATTACTGAAAGTTTGAAAAGAAAGCAGTGAATACTTCTTTGAATATGTCCTTAAGACTATTTCTTTAATAGGTTACTTTTATTTTCGTTCCTTCTTCCATTTTCTGTTTCATTTATTATTTTGTATGAAGCATCTCTTCATACCTATGTTATGTCATGTTTATGTGCTGGGAAATAATTGAGATAGCTAACTAGTTTTTGATGTATATACTAGACTATTAACCATAATAATTGAGTGAAGGCTAATGGCCCAGCGTCAAAAAGATGGAGAGGTGTATGAACTCATGATTCACTTCTTGAAGATATTGACTTTTAAACTCATCCAAGTACCTAATATAATAACCATTAATTTAGCTTTATTTTCTCTGGAAAAGTTGCTGGTTCATAAAATGAAAGAAACCTGACTAGTTGATTGAATTTTGAGTCGACTGTATTGAAAGCAACTTAATAAAATTCGACATAATACAAAGATTTTTTAGATAAACCAATCCTTTAAAAATCTACTTATCATCAACACACCACAACTTCTACGACATTCAATCTAATTCTTTTGTTAAATAAGCATTTCAGACCTTGGGAATGCCTCATTCAATGGTAAACAAGGCGGATAGGATTCTATTATTATTCGCCCCTTAAGTTGCTAGTGGAAAATACAGATTCACTCCCACACCAACATTTCACTCTCTTCTCTATAGTCTTTTCAACCTGGCTTCACAACTAGCTACAAGCTTTCATTTCTTCTGAACAACATCTCCTCTATGTCATCTACGCCTCGGACGCCAACCAGAGTTCCTCCTTACTTATTCCTAATATTCTGAACATCTATCTCATCGATCTTCACTGTCAGTATCGACTGAGCGTAGGTGGTGGCTGTTGGTTGATGTATGTCTACAGTTTGTTGAATATGCTTTTCGTAATGCGCCAAGTCTCTCATTAGGTGGTCATAGAACATGATTTATACCAGAAAAACATTTCACCAACTCATACAGAGATACATGGAAGCCATTTTGAAGATTTGATGGGAGCAAATTCACCCGAAATTCCTAATTACTGACCTAAAAATGGGCAATGTTAGTGAATAATCCACGCACTTCATTATTCTACGGTTAGAGCTGCAATCAATATATTCTGAAATATGCATAGTGTTAAAAGTTCAGTTCATAATGGTAGTAAGCAGGGAATAGTAGTGACTGTACGAATCGATTCACCAATCTACCTTCCTTCCAACCTCCTTAAGAATTTTCAAGAACCACAGGTCTACTTAACACATTCAGAGACTAAATGACCTATAATTATTCTTATTACAAAAAAATTACTTTTATTCCTCTCCGAAGTTTCAAGTCAACCTATATACGAAACAAAGCACACTGCTTGAATATTTCAGCTGGAAAAAATGGACTACTGGCTTGTAAACGAGTAGTATGACTTTATTGTGAAATGACAGAGGTATGAGAAGGTTGCCACCTACAATCACCCATCATCTTCCTGACTGTGGTCGAATAGACTGAGGTGGAATGGATTATGCAAGAAACTGTGTGGAGCTGTGAGAAGATGTACATAGGCTAGATGGAGTGATGAAAAGACGTCAGAAGAGGACTTGCACTTCGACAACGATGATGATGATGATTTATGTCTAATGTCTTATATCGCACAAACTCAAAGGTCTATAGGTGGAAACTAACAAGTTGGCAGAACAGGCAGGACAGCGAACGAAGACGGGACTTCCTTCAGGTGAACGTAGAGAGGACAGAGGTAGAGGTGATGAAGACACCCAACCAACAAAAACAAGCACCTTGAACCGGAGAAATCTAAAGGAAGCTGTTTCTTTCACCTACCTACCCACCTATCTACCTGGACAGTATCATCTCAACTGTAGATGGTGGCACATGCACACATGAGGATGTCAAAGCCAACTAGGATGTGAAAGACAGCAAGACAAGCCTTTCTTTCATTAATTTGAAATAATCAGTGTGCAGATCCACCACACTGCACTGCACTCAGCATAAAGCGTGAACAACTTCCATATTTTCAACACTAATTCAGTCATCAGTCAGTGCTTCTATGTGATGGTTGAGAGCGTAGGTGGTGGCTGTTGGTTGATGTATGTCTACAGTTTGTTGAATGTGCTTTTCGTAATGCACCACGTCTCTCAACCATCACATAGAAGCACTGACTGATGACTGAATTAGTGTTGAAAATATGGAAGTTGTTCACGCTTTATGCTGAGTGCAGTGCAGTGTGGTGGATCTGCACACTGATTATTTCAAATTAATGAAAGAAAGGCTTGTCTTGCTGTCTTTCACATCCTAGTTGGCTTTGACATCCTCATGTGTGCATGTGCCACCATCTACAGTTGAGATGATACTGTCCAGGTAGATAGGTGGGTAGGTAGGTGAAAGAGACAACTTCGTTTAGATTTCTCCTGTTCAAGGTGCTTGTTTTTGTTGGTTGGGTGTCTTCATCACCTCTACCTCTGTCCTCTCTACGTTCACCTGAATGAAGTCCCGTCAGTTTGTGCGATTTAAGACATTAGACATAAATCATCATCATCATCGTTGTCGAAGTGCAAGTCCTCTTCTGACGTCTTTTCATCACTCCATCTAGCCTGTGTACATCTTCTCACAGCTCCACACAGTTTCTTGCATAATCCATTCGACCTCAGTCGATTCGACCACAATCATGAAGATGATGGGTGATTGTAGGTGGCAAAATTATCTCACTCCTGTCCCCTGTATTCACTTCAATGGCATCACTGATCTTTCCACTGTCAATCACTTGGCATGTAGCATCATCCTCATATCCTATATAGCTGCTGTTGAATGACGTTGATGTAGGTTTGTGGTACTAAAGCAGAGTGTTGAATCAGCTGCCTGCCAAATTACCTCACAGTCGTCTCTATCGAAGGCCTTTTCAATGTCAATGAAGTCGATGTAAATATTCAGTTGACTGCCATTCTATGCCCTGTTCAATGATGATGCTTAGCGTATCCTTGCGTTGCGTTGCAATTCGATCGGTACATGATTTATTCTTCCTGAATCCAGCCAATCAGCCAACCTGTTCCGCTTGTAATTTTGAATCCTGATCATTTTTCAGTCTCTCCAGGATGATGTGGTTTAATATTTTGGTAGGGGTGGAGCATGATTCTACACCAGTTCATGTCCTTGCAAATACTTAGGTCGCCCTTCTTTCTGTTCATTTCATGGACACTAACGACTAAATACCTCACAGTTTATCGGGAACAACTCACTATACAGCAATCAGATTTATAAATGCCCATAACTGTAAACGTAGAAGGAGTTCTGTCTATCAACTGACAGATGGGTGGATATATGTAGTTGCATACCTGATTGCCATGATCATCTTTCTCAGAGATTGTAGATTTTGACAAGACTATTACTATTCGCTTAGTTGGTAATTATTTGAACAACTCTTCACCTAACTAGATCAAAATATGTATCTGAAACCACTGACAAGTATCAGATCCTAGAAAATTCACTTACATCGATTTGAATGACTGATGAGAATTATAGGGAGGAAGTGGCACCAGTTTATTGACAGTCTTGAGCAAAGTGATCCATCTTACACACACTATGAAATGCTATCATTGTAACAGCACCACATACAACTCCATGAACCCTTATCAAGAACATACACACACTAACACCAAAAGATGTAATATTTATGATAACCTGTTTCTCTCATAAAGTCAGTTCATTTCAAATTGACATTATGTTTCATAGCATAAAACCACAATATATGCATGTAATCGCTTTATGTACAACCAACTTGAATAAAAAAAGCAGAAAAACTGTAAACAATTGAGTTCTCATAACTACTCAACGTTATTTTCATTGATTGAAGTTATTTTTCCATTTGGTAATCCTAAAATTTGTAAACAGACTAATACAGCTGCCTGTTCAGCATACTTCTTCGACTTACATCTGAAAATATAATATGGAGTAAAAAGATACAGTGTAAATGAGTGGAAAATAAATAAGATGATATGCAGTAGTGATTAAAGAAGCAGTGACAACCTAAGTTATGGCAAGATTCGAAGCACCGGTTGCTATTAGAAGATGGGCTTTAGTATGGATGCCTCGGTGCTGCCAGCTGACGAGTCCCGAATAGAACGAAACATATATCCTGGATTCCAGTGCCAGCCAACAGGTTACGTTAACAGCGCTTTCCAAAAGAAACATATCTAACAGGTCGAAATTCAACCTAGGAAATCCACAGAGTATCTCACATGAAGTCCATCTATCCATCCAAATCAATATAGGACCAAGCATTACTGCGTAACGGTTCGACTTGTCACACTTCATATCAGTACATTAAGTAAAAAAGCAGTGAAGTGGGAAATGAAGAAGGAATGGAGATTTAGTCAGAAAAAATATAAAGTACGAAAAGAAAGAAACGAAAAGTGAGAAAATGGTGAGATTCGGTATGGCGTTAGGATGAGGATAATGTCTGTAAACTTCTGCACCACTGACATCGATTCTCAGCCATGTGATCACCTAGAGTCTCCAACCATTCCTTTTTCTTGTCCCACAGACCCGAACCGACTAGTCTACATCGCCTCACATGGCTCAAACCAACAGTCAAACACTTCATACATTTTGATGCCACGTTTTAGTCTGGCAGAGAGCCAAGAGACTCTATCCAGCCTGAACCTACTTCGTCCAATATTGTGTGACGAGGCGATCGGCGACTAGGCATCAGTAACACATGTCGGAGCCAACCATCTCAGTCAATGAAGGTTCACGACCGTGTCAATTGACTTTCCTCTTCTCCCTAAAACTCTACACCTGAGCCTGACTTCTGCGTTACTCAAATGGTGACACCACGGAATACAGCCTATACTACGAAGGCAACGGTGGTCAAACACCTCAAGCCAGCCTTCTCGTGTCTTTCATTTTCAATAGCCAAACAGTAGAACAGACTGGACTGCTGTGCACACTGATTTTCGTTTGTTGTCAACCCCTATTCCTTAGCGCCAGAATTTTCTTTCTCATCAGATATAAATAGCTATAGATTTTAACTAAGAAAATATGTCACTGTTAATCCTGTGTTTCCTTGACTCACTCACTCACTCACTGCCATATTGTTAATCGTGGATTTCGGATCTCCATTTATTTCTGCGTGTTTATATTATGTTGTGTTATTATTACTACTAATGTTTCATTTCAATTGTAGGCTGTTGCGGCTAATGAAAGGCTATGAAATGAAATAAGCTCATTTGTAAATGTCTTTCAGTTTGCATTGTTCAATTCTAATATGCAGTAGATGCATAGCATCACCATCCTTGTAATCAAAATAGATAGTTGATTTTGTAATAATTACATGAAGAGGGTAATTAACTTCATGTAGACTAGTCTCGAGTGTTGATTGAATTTTATCCATCATTTTGCAATATGACCGACAAGAAGGCTAGGCAGTCAGTCACCGCCCGAATAATTCAATGATAAGGTCTCTGAGTGCAATACCACATGGTGACGCCGGTTAGAAGCTCAGGCGGCACATCAGTTAGGTCGAGATTAGTTGATAAGTTGATAAGTGGTAAAAAGTCTAAAACCCAGGTAAAGCAGAGCTTCCTGCCGATCATAACTATCCAACTAACACTTAATTCATAGTGTTAGATGTTTCCTCATTACACCAAGTGATGTGGCTTCATCAACACTTACACCACATAATGTTTATGCATGAAGATAACATAATAAATACGCTATAGTTTTAGTAGCTGATATCACTTACGCGCTCGTATTTCGATAACGTTTACCATCCACCAATACGGTACTGAAAAATGATCGTGTATCACGATTTTCTACCTATAATGAGAACATTACATAACATAATCTTGAAAATTGAATTCATAAAAGTTTAACCAAGAAATCACTCCCTGTATAAATTTTTTTTTAAAATACTATTGATATTGGGTGATGATTGCAAGTGAAATGAATATCTGGATCGGTAGAATCGGATTCGAATAAATCGCCTCCAGGTTACTCCGGTCCTGTGCTCTATTAACTGCGCTACTATTCTCCAATTGATAAGAAAAACATTAATTCAAGTCAATATCAATTAGAGAATATAAGTCTCCTAACGGTTGCACATATAGGTTGCTGATGAGGACTGACAAGGACGAAACCCGATCAAAAAGAGCCCCTTATTATTGTTTGTCCTTCCAACACTAAAGTATGTGGTAATAAGATGTTACATCAGTTAGTTAGTTTATTAGCAGCATTCCAGGTTTCATTGACAGGATTTCGGTCAGTGATGACGACCAAAGATGTGACAAGTAAATCCATTAGTGACATATATAGAGTACATGTCACGAATATTTCCTATGAAGTAATTTTAACTTTCATTCAATCTTTCTTGAGTTTGCTTTTCTCAGCAAATAAATAACTACCCTAATCAGGATGAAAATATGAACAATTGCATGAAAGCCTTACTGAAACAGGAGATATGATGATGACGGACAGACAGACAGAGACAAAATCAACGTAGAACTTTGCACATAAGTGAATCGGTTCAAATTGTCACACTTTACAGTAGCATACAAAGACAAGTGGATAGAAAAAGATTGATATCAAAAGAGGAAAAGTTGTGCGAGACAATAAGCTTTAGAAGACGTCAAGGAGTGAATACATATGCGTCAGTGTGGACAAATTTAAACCGTGTCACCAAGAGTCCTCAACCATTGATTCCCATCATCTCGGGAACTGGAGCCAGGTAGTCTACATCTCTTTACAAGGCTCAGACCAACAGTCAGGGAAATCATGGTGCCACGGCTTAATTTGGCCACCCTGAATCCACTTCCAACCTGATTCAACTTTCTCTAGCATCGTACATCTAAGTTAGTGGTGGTTCGGCATGTGTGTCACGTGTTCAAGCTATGTCACTCGACTAAGGATCAAAACCTCATCAATCGACTTGCCAGCCTATCTTGTCTAGTACACTCTGCTTGACCTTAACATTGCTCATACGGTGATTCCCCCACAACACGAGGAATACTACGAAGACAACCACGATCAAAACCATGTAACCACTTGATGTCTTCTTTCAAAGGTTATGTTTCATAATTATATAGCAGGACACTACGGACTGCAGCAGAGTATATGCATCCTTTGATCTACGGGCGAAAACTAACAAGTTGGATGAGCAGGCGGGACAGCAAACGAAGACAGCACTTCCTTCAAGTGAACGTAGAGAAGACACAGGTAGAGGTGATGAAGATACTCAATCAACCAACCAACCAACAACAAGTACCATTTACCATGAAGGGGAGAAATCTGAAGGAAGTTATCTCTTTCACCTACCTACTTATCTACCCACCTATCTACCTCGGCAGCATCGTCTCAACTACAGGTGGCGGCACAGGCACACATGAGGATGTCAAAGCCAACCAGGATGTGAAAGACAGCAAGACGGGCCTTCCTTCATTAATTTGAAATAATCAGTGTGGAGATCTACTGCACTCCACTCCACTCCACTCAGCATACAGCGTGAACAACATCCGGATTTTCAACACTAATGTCAGTCAAGTCAGTGCTTCCATGTCATGGTTCAGAGACTTGGGGCGTTACGAAAAGCATTTCCAACAAACTACAGACATACATCAACCAACAGCTGCCGCCTACTCCCACTGGATACTGACACTGAAGATTGATGAGATGGATGGCCAGAATTATAAGAATAAGCGACAAGGAACTCTGGCTGGTAACGAACCAACCAACCAACAACTTACCGCCCAACAAATATGCAGACGAAAGTAGAGATGAATTGGATGGGGCATACACTGAAAAGACCATTCGGGGACATAATGCGTCAGGCCAAGACATCGGGTGGAATCCAAATGGGAAACGACGAGTTGGGCGTCCGAGGCGACAGTGACAAGGAGGAGATCATATGAGGAAGAAATGAAAGCTTATGGAAAGTGGTAGAGCCAGGTTGAAAAAACTGGAGAGAAGAGAGTGCAATGGTGACGTGGTAGTGAAGCCCTATGTTCCACTAGGAACTCAAGGGACAAGAAAAAAGATACATGGACTATTGGATTCCAAGTCTATGGCTCAAGGGTAACATGCTGGCTATAAAACCTGAAAGTTCCGGGTTCCATCCCTGATAGGATGGGGTCATGGGTGCGCACTGCTGAGAGGACTCATACTAGGACGAAACAGTTGTCCAATGATCTCAGGTTTCTATTATTCCTGCAACTGATGTCAGTCCATGATGAATACCAATATTTAGCACTTTACTTACCTACAAAGTCATAACAGTTCTCGTGGGTCAGTCAAAGACGAAATCTTACCAGTGTGATGCAAAGGACAGAATTATATTTAGCCAGCTGCTTACACCTCATATAGAGTCAGTCAGGGTAATGATGTACTACCCAGCTACCTATCACCCAGATGATTGAAAGTCAACTACCTACACCAATGAGCTATACCTTTAAATATCTATTGACTTTCAAGTGTAATGAGTAAAAGCGTGCTGAATCTTGTTATTTAGCTGTGAACCGTTGGTTTAACGAGATGACTTTCAATCAAATGGGTCATGTTTTCGAACATCGTTTCACCCACCGAGGTTTCGGTAACCAAGTAGTATGATTAGGATTAGCTATTACACAACAGGTGTGGCCCACTGCCTACTTCACGAATACATACAAGGTTAATGACTGTGCATTTCGATTCGATTTCGACTACTATATTCCTTTTAATTACATATTTCAACTAGATTCTAAGCTATATACATGTTAGCCTGTCTACGGTCTTGGAAAACGATAATGATTGAATGTATTAACGATCAAAGTTAAAACTTTCGATAAATTAGTCATAATCTCATGTATTATATTCATCAGTTTAAATCATTTTCCAAGGCTATTATTAAGCATAACTGATTTACATTCAGAATAACTATACTGACGTAGCTTCAAAGGTTAGGTTAGTAACTCTTGAAATAACCAATCAGATTTCAGCTAGGAAAGTAGTTTCTTACAGGATGAAGGATTTCTAGGGTGACCTTCAAATTCATTCTTATTTTGAAAAAAAATTTTAAAATATTTTTTTCTAAAACTTACAGTTTCATACTTTGGTGTATCCCATTTTAATAATTTACAATGTTCAAGAAGAATTTGTTTTGGACTAGTTCCATGTTCAGGCCAAAATCTACGTTCATATGGGATACAGAGTACAATCTCATCAGGTACACTATTCATAATATAGTTTGTTGACTCTACTATACTTTGTTCTATACGAGCTCGTTTCTCTGGATGTGGAAAACAATCAGAAGGTAGTGATGACGATGATACGACTGACTGTTGATGATTATCATTCGAAGTAGTTTCCATTTGATTCAAACGTTCTAATCTAACAGACATTTCATGGTTATATACATCTAGCATATTCCAAATGACGCTAAGATAAAGGTGAATAAAAGGATATAACAAAGGCATAAATTAATAGAGGTAAGTAATACTACTTTTAAATAGAATAAAGTAATATGTAACTAAGAGAACATTTTTCTTCAATAGATTAGATGATAGCTGAGCATACATGACACTTGTCACATTCTAATTATTAGTTAATACAACTCTAGCCAATATAGAGGTCTATGTGCTAGGCTACGAGCCCCAGGCTTATTGTTCATCCGCTTATAACTAAGTGAGATAGAGCTTGGAAAGTTGAATCTGTAACCCGATAGAGCTACCATTTCCCTTTGTCATAAACACCTTCATTTGTACAAACTTATGAAAATCATACATTAACTTACCTTCTAGAAATCTAGTCCCATTCCGTGGGCTATTCCACCCCACGTGACGGAGGTTTCAAATATACAAATCAAAGATTATATCCTCTTCATATCATTATTCACCTTAGACACATGTCAAACACTTTGAAATTATGAAGTTAAAAATCGATAAGCAACCTCTATCTAGCTTATGAAGTCGAATATAATCTCGTCAGGAGTCGACGTACTAGAATTTCAACAACTTCTCGAAGAAGAGAAGTAATTAACACCTTCGACTATTTCATTGCTTACCTTTAGTAAATATGACATTTAAGACTACTACTATAAGAGCGAAGTGTGTACAATCAATAACAATGATACCACTTCACTCTGAGATACATAGATAGGCAAAATTAACGTGGGATTTGACACAAAAGTGCATCAATTCAAGTTGTTATACATTATAGTATAGTGAATAGGGAAAGCAGAAACAGTGTATGGGAGGAGGAAGAGAGAATACACCTGAGCCACTGAGACCGATTTTCGGCCACATCAACAAGGCTCCCCAACCATAAGTTCCTATCATCAGTACCTCACTATACAGCTAAGACTAGCTGTCACAGACTTCATAGACTGATGCCACGTCTGCGTCTGAGCCTTCTTCTTAACTTATTCTACTCCAGGTAACACTACAGCTCGATGTAGGGGGCAGTGCCTTCACAGCTACAATACATATTCAACCTAACACAAACGCTGAAGACACACAACTTCACTGACTTCCTCGCCTTCTTTAGCTAATACACTGCCAGCGTAGCCAGTTGTTGATGAATATGTGTAGTTTGTTGGAAATGCTTCTCACGTTACTCGCCATGTCTCTGAACCATCATATAGAAGCACTGACTTGACGTTGGTGTTGAAAATCCGGATGTTGTTCACGCTTTGTGCTGAGTGCAGTAGATCTCCACACTGGTTTCAGGCTAATGAACACCCGTCTTGCTGTGTTTCCAATCCTGACTGGCTTTGACGTCCTAGTCTGTGCCTATGCCGCCTGTGGTTGAAACAGTACTGCCTGGATAGGTGAAGGAGGCTACTTCCTTCAAGTTTCTTCCATTGATGGTGACTGGAGCTTGTTGTTGCTGTTGTTGTTGGTTGGGTATCTTCATCACCTCTATCTCTGTCTTCTCTACATTCACTTGAAGTCCCGTCCTCACTGACCTGCCTCTTTTGTCAACTTGTTAGTTTTCGCCTATAGATCGTAAAGTGTGTGTGACATCAGACACAAGTCGTCGTTGGCGAAATCCAAATCTTCTAGGTTCTTTTCCTGTCCAACCAGCGTATCACCCTCTTCTCACAGCTCCTCACACTTGTCTGTTGCATGATCCAGTCCATGACAATCAGGAATATCATGGGTGATAGTAGACAGTCTTGTTTCACTTCTGTCACCTGTGTTCACTTCAAAAGCATCACTGAACTTTCCATTGTGAATTACTTGGCATGTGATGTCTTCATATAGTTGTTGAATGAGATTGATAAAGGTTTGTGGTATTCCGTAGTGTTGAAGCAACTGCCAGATTACTTCTCAGTCGACGCTGTCGAAGGCCTTTTCAAAGTCAAATTGTGATCAGATAGAGCATAGTAACAAGAATGAGTAGCAAATTAATTGAAAAGTGAATAGTGACAAAACAGAAAGACAAAAGGAAAACAGGAACGGTGTAGAGGAGGTTCCAAAGACTGGAAACTAAGACTACGAAAGGAGAAAGGGTTGAAAAATCTTTTGCCTATACAGTTCAGGTTTCTCCATATGGATGGCAAGAGCTTTGATGATGCAGAAAATACGAAAGTATACAGCCTTTGGAAGCTTTCTTTTCACTTTATAGATGACTTTGAACAACGAAGTTCTTGAGACAGGATGATTTGTGTTCACCATGTGTGTTCAATTATAGCGTTGCTTATCACTTCATTGTCACCTCTTTGTAACCATGTGGGATATCCCTTTTGAACTCTTTTGGATAACATTCGCATCGAATGATCTGTATATCTGGTTCCACAAGACCAGATGAATTGATATATGCAGATATGAAAGTTTCTTGTTTGAGCTGTTAAATATCATTGGGCGAAAACAGACTACTAGTCTCAGCTCTGATGCAAAGAATGTTCACCTTAAAGCGTTTGATATCCTCCTTTTTAGTGTTAGCGACAGAATCCCCATTTGAAGTTTAAATTCACATAGAGTATCTTTTTTGGCAGGGTGATAAGGTTCTCTGTGCTTATGTATATATATATATATATATATATATATATATGATTCCTCCCTTTACCGAAATCTAACAAGAGTTTATATACGTTTCTATATCTCATTGATTTCATGACAAGCAAAATGCGCAATTATCATCTTAACCTCTATTCACTTACCATTTCATTCTGACTTGTATTCATATGTAAATGTAAACAATATACAAAGATATAATTTTCGTTTTAAACATACCATAAATCACGTAGTTCACTCACAGCTAATACCTCCTCATACAACGGTGTACCACCCATTTCGTGTAGCATTTGTAAAACACAATACTTTACTCCAGCTACATGATGATTATATCGTACCGACTAAAATATTATATGGATAAGAAATAGAAAAAAAAACAGAAACATGAACAAACAAACAAAATTGAATAATGAGTTTATCTATGTTAAACGCTTCATGAAATATTTTATATCATTAATTGGCTTAGAAAATAAAAGTAGTTTCATTCAGTGTGGTCCGATGGCTTTTATACTGAAAATGTCAGTCAGTAGTCAATTAAATTCAGCCAACTAGTTTACACAAAATATACATACTGAATAGATTACTGTGAATAAAATACGTTAAATTCACATCCGTTTTCTTTATATCCTACAATGCTCCATAATCCATGAAGGTGAAATAGTAATACTAGGGACTGTTTGCCTATCAATAAATGCCTTCAAATAATTAGCAAGTGTGACAGAAGAGGCAGCGAAGATGAGACTTCAAGTGAATGTAGAGAAGACAGAGGTGATGAAGATACCCAAACAACACCTTCACCACTACCAACAACAAGCTCCAATCACCATCAATGGGAGAAACTTGAAGGAAGTAGCCTCTTTCATCTACCCATCCAACTAGGCAGGCAGCATCGTTTCAACTACAGATGGTGGTACAGGCAAAAATGAGGACGTCAAAGCCAGCTAGGATCGGAAACACAGCAAGACAGGCGTTGATTAACTGAAACCAGTGTGATCTTCTGCATTGCACTGCACTCAGCGTAAAGTGTGAACAACATCCGGATTTTCAACACCAATTCAATCAAGTCAGTGCTTGTATATGATCGTTCAGAGACATGGCGCGTAACGTGAGAAGCATTTTTAACAAACTACAGATTTTCATCAACAACTGGCTACGCTGGCTCGACACTGAAGCTCAGATGGCCACAATAATGAGAATAAGCAACAAGGAACTCTGGCCGGCTGACAACGAACCAACCAACCAACTATGAACCTATCGCTCAACAAATATGCAGAAGGAAGTGGAGATGGATTGGATTGGGCATACACTGAGAAGACTATTTGGGGACATCACGTGCTGGGCTAGGCACTGCAGTGCGACCCAGATTGGAAACAGCGATTCATGCGTCCGAGGGCGACATGGAGGAGGAAGTGAGAGCTTCTGGGATGTCATGGAGCCAGGTTCAAAAGATTGAGGAGGACAGAGTGGAATGGAGACGTGCTGCTGAAGCCGTATGTTCCACTATGAACTCAAGGGACAAATAATAATAATAATAATAATAATAATAATAATAATAATAATAATAGTCTAACGTTACTAGGCAGAGTACTTAAACATGTATAGGAAGATAACGCGTGTACACAACACAACAGACAACTATAAATAACAAAGAAAACCAGTAAAAAAGTAGTGTATAATCTCACCAGAGTTAAATATCTTTTGATGACTTCTTCAAGCTTAGGCAATGGTTCATTATTTTGAACAGACTTAAATATAGCAGGATTCCACATAGCAGCTCGAGCTATCATAACACCTGATGCACCTGTTTCTTGTCGAAAGTATTCTATATCTTCATGATTTTTAATCATATCACGAGAACCACCACTTTAAAACGGGATAGTTTTTTAAAGAAAAAAAGGCAGACAAATTATTAAACCAACAAACAAAGTGATAAATTGGTTGTGGCTAGCAGAAGAATCCAAGACGCGCGTTTCGTCCTGGATCCTTCTGTTAGCCACAACCAACCAATTTATCATAATTAACATTCAGGCAATATCGAGGTATCCGCTTAGGAGCCCATATGCCAATAGAGGTCGAACAATTCGATCCAATAAAACAACGGAGAATAACAAGTATGTCAATAAATAGTTATAAAACAAAATAATAAATAAAAACACTGTACAGGTTTATTCAATAGAAAACGCTGAATTAAGACACTATCATTATGCTTACACCCCAGTCAAAGTTGAACAATATCGAGAAGGGATTCAAGAATATGACCTAATGGCAAATAGCTAGAAGTCTACTCATGTTCACCCGAAGCAAAATATTAAACCACATCATCCTGGAGAGACTAAAAAATGATCAGCATTCAAAATTACGACAAGAACAGGCTGGCTGACTGGCTGGATTCAGGGAGAACAAATCATGTGCTGATTGAATAGACGCAACGATACGCTGTGCATCATCAGAGAACACAGCACAGAATGACAATCAACTGGATCTTTACATCAACTTCATCGACATTGTAAAATCTTTCGATAGCGTCGACGGTGAAGTAATTTAACAAGCAGCTGATTCAACACTAAGCTTTTAGTGCCACAAACTTCATTCAACAGCAGCTATATGATGCTACATGCCAAGTGATTCACAATACAAAACTCAGTGATGCCATTGAAGTGAAGACAGAAGTAAGAGAAGGTTGCCACCTACAATCACCCATCATCTTCGTGATTATGGTCGAATCGACTGAGGTGGAATGGATTATACAAGAAACTGTGTGGAGCTGTGAGAAGATGTACATAGGCCAGCTGGAGTGATGAAAAGACGCCAGAAAAAGACTCGCACTTCGACAACGATGATGATGATGATTTATGTCTAATGTCTTATATCGCACAAACTCGAAGATCTATAGGTGGAAACTAACAAGTTGGCAGAACAGGCAGGGCAGCAAACGAAGACGGGAATTCCTTCGGGTGAACGTAGAGGAGACAGAGGTACAGGAGATGAAGATGCCCAAAAAATAACAACAACCAATCAACATGGACGGGAGAAATCTAAAGGAAGCTGTTTCTTTCACCTACCTACCTGCCTAGGCAGCATCGTCTCAACTACAGGTGGCGGCACAGGCACACATGAGGATGTCAAACCCAAGATCAGAAAAGCAAGACAGGCCTTCCTTCACTAATCTAAAATAATCAGGGTGAAGATCTACTGCACTCCACTCAGCATATAGCGTGAACAACATCCGGATTTTCAACACTAATGTCAGTCAAGTCAGTGCTTCCATGTCATGGTTCAGAGACTTGGGGCGTTACGAAAAGCATTTCCAACAAACTACAGACATTCATCAACAGCTGCCTACCCTCAATACTTAAAATCAGATGGCCAGAATAATAAGAAAGAGAAACAAGGAACTCCGGCTGGTAACGAACCAACCAAGGACTTATCGTATGTGTGTAGTCAAAAGTCGAGATGGATTGGATTAGGCATACACCGAGAAGACTATTTGGGGACATCACGCACCAGGCCAGGCCAGATATTTGAGTGGAATGTATATGAGAAACGACGACTTGGGGGTCTGAGCCGAGGATGACATGGAGAAGATCGTGTGAGGAAGAAATGAAAGCTTCTGGACAGTTGTGGCACCAGGTTTAAAAGACTGCATAGAGGAGAGTGAAATAGAGATGTAGTAGTGAAACCATATGTTCCACTAGGAACCCAAAAGACGAATAATAATAATAAAAGCTAGAAGTCTAAACTAATTAGTGACACTGATAAACAAAGAAGCTAATCAGGATAAGCAAGTTCCAAATATTTACAAACTCATCAAGGTTTTTAGTCCAACAGAACTTACATTGTCAATTATAGAGATCTCTCAAAACTGAATGAAAAACAAATCAGCAATCACATGCAGTTTTATGTACAGTACAACTAGTCACACACACACACACACACCAATTGGCTGCCCAAAACTTTACAAGATGGAAAGGTGACTGAACTTGTGATCTAGTTGGTTAAACGTCAACTGCCTACATCACTGAATCACAGTTCCATCCAACAGATAAATCTTTGTATAATCAAGTGAGGTGTAGTTGTTTTTCTTAGATACATTGATGATGACATTTCTGCAGGTAGATATCTCACCATCAAAAGACTATGAAATGATCACTGATAATCAGACAGAGAACCCTCCAAGCAAAGAGATGCACTTGCTGGATATTATTACTATTTATTATTTGTGCCTTGGGTTCCTGATGGAACATAGGGCTTCAGTAGCACGTCTCCAGTGCGCTCTGTTCACTTGTAGCTCTATGGCTGCAGGTGGTATTTCTGGACGAAGTGTAGATGGAGGTAGATTCAAGAGCTTCTTGAATTGGTCGGCCCATCGTTTCCTCTGTTTCTCTTCTTTCGTAATTATATTTCCTTCATCATCTTTTATTGGTTTAATCTGTGTTGATCTCTTCCCTGATAGTAACCTAGTTGTTTGATACAATGTTGTCAGGTCTCTCCTACCAGTCTGCAGCCTGTTCTGCTTCACTTGCAAGTGTTTCGTAGAAGTGTCTTTTGTCTTTCCGTGCACTTTTATTCACTTTGTCCAGTGTAGTGTTTTATACATTGTACTCAGTTCCTCTTCTCGTTGTGCATCCTTCTGCTGGTTTATCTTCTACTTCATCCTCTTCTCTATCAGCTTCCAGGTATCCGTCGAGATCCATTTCTTGTCTTGTCTTCTTTCTTCTTCCTTCCTAATACGGTTATGCAGGTTTCTTTTCACATGTCTTTCAAAGAGTTCCAGTGCTCATCCTCACAGGTTTCTTTAGGGATGTTGCTCAATGTCTCCCATTTTTTCTTGATGGCTACCGTGAAGATTTCCTTTGTAGTTTCGTCCTTCAGTTTCCGAGTGTTGTACTTGAACTGTGGTCTATCACCAGCTTCCTTGAAGGCTTTTAACTTGATTTGGAAGGTTCCTTGTACTAGATAGTGGTCTGAACCTACATCTGCTCCTCTTCTTAACCTTGTGTCAAGTAGCATGCGTCTCCACTTTCTTGAGATTGAGATCAAGTCGATCTGATTTTAAGTGTGGATATTATATAATACGATTTTTTCTGGTTTATGACCCTTAATTCATTCTGATGATGGTCAATTCACCCTTCTACTCGTTTCACCTAACTTACAAAGTTCTCATTATCAATGAAAATTTCTGACAGCTAGAAGTAAGAATCAAATTGAAGAGAGCTCAGCAAACCTTGTGAATAGTAGGCAATAATCCAAATATACAATCCTAAGGCTAACAGTACTACTTAGCTGTCCAAATTTTGGTAGATGAAGCAGGATTCGAACCTGTAACCCGCTTCATTGAAAGTCAACTCCTCAAACCAATGATCTATAGCTCCATTAAGAGTAAGAAATTAATTTCTAATTTGTACATAATGTTTTACATCTGGTTTAATAAAACCTATTAAAACAAGTGAGAAAGAATAACTACCAATTCTACCTTCAACTGTGGTAATGTATCGATTGACTTGTAATCTCTACGACAGTATTAGTTCTTTAAGACATCAATAAATTCATCCTGTTGATGAGTACTAATGAATATGAAACCTGAGTTCACAGCTCACACCAAACCATGTAACTATGTTAAATACATTAAAGTTTGCACTACTAAATGCTTTACTACATTCCATTAGTTTTACATTTCGCCAAAATGATTGCAAAAAGAGAAATATCAGTAATAAAAATAAAAACTCAGCTATGAAGCTGCATCATTCTGGAGAGACTAAAGGATGTGCTGGATTCAAAACTACGACCGGAACAGGCAGGCTGGCTTCAGGAAGTACAAATCATGTGCGGAGTATATTGCAACGCTTCGCATCATCATAGTACAGAGTATAGAATGACAGTCAATCCTCCACCTCAACTTCATCGACTTTGAAAAGGTCTTCGACAGCGTCGACTGAGAAGTAATTTGGCAGTTGCTTCAACACTACGGAATACCACAAACCTTTATCAACCTCATTCAACAACTATATGAAGACGCCACATACCAGCCAAGTAATTCACAATGGAAAGTTCAGTGATGCTTTTGAAGTGAACACAGGTGACAGGAGTGAAACAAGGCTGTCTACTATCACCCATGATATTCCTGATTGTAGTGGACTGGATCATGCAACAGACAAGTGTGAGGAGCTGTGAGAAGAGGGGGATACGCTGGCTGGACAGGAAAAGAACCTAGAAGATCTGGATTTCGCCAACGATGACTAGTATCTAATGTCATACACACTTGAAGAACTAACAAGTTGACAGAAGAGGCAGGTCAGTGAAGACGGGACTTCAAGTGAATACAGAGAAGACAGAGATAGAGGTGATGAAGATACCCAACCAACAACAACAGCAACAACAAGCTCCAGTCACCATCAATGTAAGAAACCTAAAAGAAGTAGCCTCCTTCACCTATCCAGGCAGTACTGTTTCAACCACAGGCGGCATAGGCACAGACTAGGACGTCAAAGCCAATCAGGATTGGAAACACAGCAAGACAGGTGTTCATTAGCCTGAAACCAGTGTGGAGGTCTACTGCACTCAGCACAAAGCGGGAACAACATCCGGATTTTCAACACCAATTCAGTCAAGTCAGTGCTTCTGTATGGTTCAAAGACTTGGCGCGTTATGAAAGGGATTTTCAACAAATTACACACATTCATCAACAGCTGCCACCTACGCTGGCTCGTTACTGAAGCTCAGCTGGCCAGAATAATAAGAATAAGCAACAAGCAACTCTGGCTGGCTGGCAGCGAACCAAACAAGAACCTATCACGCAACAAATATGCAGAAGGAAGTGGAGATGGATTGGGCATACACTGAGAAGGCCGCCTAGGAACATCACGTGCCAGGCCAGGCACTCGAGTGGAACCCTGATGGGAAGCGATAAGTTGGGCGTCCGAGGGTGAAATGGAGGAGATCGTGAGAGGAGGAAATGAGAGCTTATGGGCTGTCGTGGAACCAGGTTCAAAAGATTTCAGAGAACAGAGCGCATTGGAGACGTGCTACTGAGGCCCTATGTTCCATTAGGAACCCAAGGGACAAATAAATAAATGATAATAAATACGAAGTAGGGCGATTGGGCCACAAACTCAGTGGTCGCTGATTCGAATCCAGCTGTGGTTCAAATATTAGTCTGTAAAACCACGGCTGCTATTCCAGACAGTCAAAATGAGAATAAAGCTGTAATCATTAGATATTGGGAGTCAATTGATTAGAAAGCTTGAAGGACCTAGATTTCTTGCTTGTTAGCATTCATTCCAGTAAGGTGTATCTCTACAACCATGAGGAAACTGATGCTACCTCCGTGATTCAAATCTACATCAGTCAATGCTTAACATCAGAGATGATACCACCAAGTTACTCAGATCGAGAATCATCTTCTGTAGGGATTGATTGTGTACATATTGGGTAGCTTGCGATTCTATCACCAAGATTTAGTACACTCCACTTGGCTTAATGACCACATATTACTAACTTGATCGATGGACGTCGGTGATTTCTGAATGACTAATAACTAAAACAACTTTATGAGCTGCCTATTCATAAGCTATCTGAGTAAAATGATCAAACATTGTTTGGATTCCTTATGTAGACGACACTTTTGTCATCATTAAAAAAGAGGATACAGAAAACATCCACAATTTGATCAACAACGTTTTCAGTGACATCAAATTCACAATGGAGAAGGAGTCAAACAACCAACTACCATTCCTGAATGTTCTGGTCAATAGAACAAATATGGGGAAACCCAAGTGTACAGGAAGCCAACTCACATTGACCAAGTCCTCAACTACACTAGCAACAACCCAACAACACACAAGATAAGTTGTGTGCAGACTCTATTCAGAAGAGTGAGAACACACTGCACAGTACAACAACTTCACAGAGAAACGAAGAAAATTACTTGATGTTCACCCTAAAGAAGAACGGCTACCCACGAAACTTTATCACAAGATGTCTATCCCGTACATCATCAACTACAAAGTCATAGACAGAAATCAACAAACGCATCATCCTACCATACATGAAGAATGAATATATCAGAAATCACGAAAAGATTACTGAAACCACCTGGAAGTGGTGTGGCTCATATACCAACAAATTCTCTCCAAACACTATTATGCAGACCGAAGTATGCAACAACCAAAGAAGACAAACCGAATATCATTTACAGAATCAACTGGAATAACTGTAGTCAACACTACATTGGACAAAGTAGTCGCCCTCTTCGCCTTCGTCTGCATGAGCATCAACTGGTTATCAAAAGTCACGACATTTCGTCACTCATTCCAATGCACGTGGATAACAACTATGGACATGAATTCAATTTCGACAATGTAGAAATTTTGGACAGAGGAAACACAAAAGATAGCAGAGAATTCCCAGAAGCTTGGCATTCAGGTCAGTCAGTCAGCAATCAACACATGTATAGATATGGACCCAATCTATCAACCAATAAGAAAGATGATAAACGACAGAAAGGTCAGAGTTGAAGCAGATGAACAGCCAACAAGAACATCTATACAGTCGCTGGCACAACAATCGAAGGAAACAACCAATCACAGACCACATCGTCAGAGCAAGCCACTAAATCATTCACTAACGGAGAGATATCTACAGCTCACTTCATACTGTAGTTAGTGATGATGATGTCGCTGTCTAGCAAGACGATGAAAGCTTCACGATTAAACAATCCAGCTCAGAGAACACAATACAACGAAGACCATCTATGTGAGCTACAAATATTCTCCATTTCAAAACATTATTTTTCTCTACTGCTTACTTAGCTAACACAGGAATAGATATTGACTGAGCTATAGCCTGAATCACTTCATTTCGATTTCGATGCATTGGTCTTTCGTGAACAGTTCGACCGTGAACAGTGATGGCTACAACACCTGTAGATTCAATAAGTTTAGCCAAAGCAATAGTTTTTTCTAGCTAAAAATGTGAGAAAAGAAGAAGAAAAAAGGAAGAGAAACACATTCATTATCAATCAATCAAATTACAATACTTAACACTAGTATAAAAAGGACAAGGTAGAAAAAGGTTGATATCAAAGGAGACAAAGTTGTATGAGAGAATATTCAAGCTCTAGATGATTTTAAAGAGTGAATGCATTTGCATCAATGTCACCGATTCTCAACCAACTCACTAAGATTCCTCAATCACTTATTCCTATATCATCTCAAGGATGCCAACTATACACTTTATATCTCCCAACACATCTCAGAGCAACAGTTAGAAACATTACGTTTTGGTCTAGATACTCTGAACCCTCTTCCAATCTCATCCAGCTTCTTCCAACACAGCATGTCGAAGTAGGCGGCGACTTGGTATGCACATTATGTGTCCAAACCATCTTAGTCGATGAACCTTCACAACTTCATCAGTCAACTTCCTAGTGTCAGCGCCGAAAACCCTTTGCCTAACTTCGACATTATTTATAGAGTGATTCCACCAAACATAAGCAATGCTACGAAGATATCTATGATCAAAACATGGTAATCGCTTCATACCTTCTACTTTTAACTGCCATGTCTCACAGTCATATAACAGGACAGAACAGATGGTAGTGCAGTATACTCATCCTTTAATTGGAAAGCTGGATATTTCACCAATTAGCACAGGTAGGCAAATTCCAAACGAGCCTTCTATATCCGAGTTGAGATTTCGTCAGCAACCAGCCTGTTCGCCTGTTGACGCAACTGTTCAAGTAACAGAACTGGTCGATACATTTCACCACTTCACTCCCTATCATCAATCGAGCAGTAGGCAACTCATCACACAAATTATATGACGGCTTATGATACTACCTCTGTAGATGGAATGAGGTTCGAACCCGTGACCCATACATGACCTCTTATATAAAAAGCTATGACTAAGATGAAATAATTATGATTCAGTTTTCAGACAAGAAAAAGTTAATCCAAGGTAGCATAAAACCTATTAGGTGGTGGTCAATGGAATTCTCACTAATATATGGGTTCAGTTTTATCCGCTTTAACATGATATACGTAGTATTTAACAAAAGGTAGAAGACTTACTCACAAACTTTCTGTTTGTTATAAAGTACTAAATGTATTCTGATTACAAACCGATCGCAAAAGTCTCTAACACTGAACGAGGTGTCTGTCAATTACACCACCTTAGTAAAGAATTTATATACGAACACCTAAAGTCATATGAAGACCTACAGTAAGCCAACCAAGAGACTAGTTCATAAAGATGTGATAAACATTGAGGGGGGGGGGGGTTCAATGGTATTCATTGTATACACATTTACTTAACTTTCTCAAATACGTATCTATGCACGTCTGACTTTACAGGGAATAACTTCGTCGAGTAAAAGTATACAAAGGAACATAGTCTTGTCAGATGAAGACACCACTGACACGAAGTATAGTCTATCGGACACTGCGCGACAATTTGAAGATATTTAGGATGCATTTCTCATCGTCCAAATACGAGTCACTGTTTCAAGAATAGTCTCCAAAGATACACTAGAGATACAGTAGATAATGAATTGATTGATAGCACAATTGCCTCTGTTACTACGGAAGTCAAATCTCTGCACGGAAAGGAAAGGCTCACTCAGTTTCTCCTAACTTAAGCTATATATTATTATTATTATTATTATTATTATTATTATATTATTATTAGTCCCTTGGGTTCCTAGTGGAACATAGGGTTTCAGTAGCACATCTCCGGTGACCTCTGTTCTCTGAGATCTTTTGAACCTGCTTCCACAACAGCCCACAAGCTCTCATTTCCTCCTCGCACGACCTCCTCCATGTCACCCTTGGACGTCCAACTCGTCGCTTCCCATCAGGGTTCCACTCGAGTGACTGGCCTGACGCATGATGTCCCCAGTCAGCCTTCTCAGTGCATGCCCAATCCATCTCCACTTCTTCCTGCATATTTGTTGCGTGATAGGTTCTTGGTTGGTTCGTTCCCAGAGCTCCTTGTTGCTTATTCTTTCTGGCCATGTGATCTTCAGTAGCGAGCCAGCGTAAGCAGTTGTTGATGAATGTCTGTAGTTTATTGGAAATCCCTTTCGTGACGCGCCAAGTCTCTGAGCCATACAGAAGCACTGACTTGACGTTGGTGTTGAAAATCCGGATGTTGTTCACGCTTTGTGCTGAGTGCAGTAGATCTCCACACTGGTTTCAGGCTAATGAACGCCTGTCTTGCTTTTCGGATTCTAAGCTATATATATTGCTGGTGGAATATTCAACTGCTTACTGAGGGTTGTGTCTACTGCATAGTATTTCCTATGGCTATCAGAATATGGTCACTTGAATGAAAATCCCCTCAGAAACCATATACACTTTGATGTAGTAGACAATGATAGCACCTGGTTGCATAAACCTCGATAGGTGGAGTGAAGTTCGAACCAGTGACCCATAAGTTTCACAAATATGGTGATTAAAGATAGAAGACCACCAATCCGCCTTGTAGTACTTCCGATTTGAAGTTGACCCAACACGTTAATAGTACAAACGGATAACTTATAATGATAATGATTAGTATAGCGAATTAAAGGGATTACCTTAGGAAGCGAATAAGACAAATGTGATTAAACACAAAGTTGGAAATTTAAAAGATAATGAATAACAGTGAAAGTACATCAATCTTTTGAAACAATTTCAAGGATCTTGGCTAATAAGTCTATACACATAAAATCATCATCAAGTTCTTAGTTTATATGTCGTCTTGGAAACGAAGAATACATTCACACCTCATGAATGAATATCAGTTTACACTGCATCACCTTATTAGTAGTTCACTGTATCCACATTAAAGGCATAGGTGTAGGTCTAGCATAAATCTGATGAAAATTCAACTAATCAAACTACACAACACATATAACAATTAACAAATCACACATACCTCAGGTAATATTCGTATTTTACATGTGACCGGAATATGAAGATTTCTAGTTAAAGTGGTTAGAATCTATACATCAATAAGAGAAAAAAGACATTGAAATACAATGAGATTAGTGTATGTGTAAACTTTGCTAATATATTTCAAGCAACACTACTTCCAAGTAGTAATCGCTAAATTTACTGATTCATACATTCACAGACATGTATCATATATATATAGTTTGTTTTCATTTCAGTCTGTTTATTAGAAATATCATACAGTGTAGAAACAGTATCATTTACTCGATAACATCGTTTCGGACATAATTTATTGTTCATATTCATATCAGGCAACTAACTTCATAACTTCGAGAGACAGACTTTGTATAGTATAATTGCTTTTATATGATACCGTCGTTGACTGGACCGAATTGCCATATGGGCTCTTGTGCAGATGCTTCAACATTGCCGGTATGATATAAAAACATCAATTAATCAATATCAACACAGGACTAGGCATTACTGCGTAACACTTCGAGTTGCCATAGCTCACATCAGTACATCAAGTAGAAAGGTAGTGAGGTGAATGATGGAGATAAGAGAATGCAGTCAAAAGAAATATAAAATACGAGAAGAAAGAAAGGAGGAATGAGAAAATGGTGAGATTCGGTATAGCGTTGTTAAGATGAGGATAATGTGTGTATACATCTGCACCAGTGACATCGATTCTCAGCCATATGATCACCTACAGTCAGTCTCCAACCACTGGTTCCTCTTGTCCCACGGACCCCAACCACCTAGTCTGCATCCCCCCACATGGCTTAAACCAACAGTCAGAGACTTCATACATTGGTACCATATTTTAGTCTGGCCACCTCGGGCCTTTTTCCAGCCTGGACCCACCTCAGCCAACATCGTGTGACGAAGCAATCGGTGACTAGGTATACGTAGTACGTGTCCCAACCATATCAGTCGATGAAGGTTCACAACCTCGTCAACTGACTTACCTCTTCTCCCCAAAACTCTACACCTGAGCCTGACTTCTGCATTACTCACATGGTGACACCACGAAACAAGGCCTATACTACGAAGGCAACGGTGGTCAAACACCTGAAGCCTTCTCATGTCTTCCACTTTCAATGGCCATGTTTCACAGCCATACAGTAGAACAGAGCGGACTGCTGTGCAGTACATGCGACCTTTAATAGACAAACGGATATCAAGGCGGCGCCATAGGTGGCACAAATTGGCAAAAGCCAATCGAGCCTTTTGTATCCGTGTAGAGATTTCATCGGCAACTAACCCACTAGGGTTGATCCTACTTCCCAGGTAAGTGAAATGGTCGACACACTCAACCACTTCACTCTCTATTGTTAGCCACGGCACCGCTGAAGACCAGTCTTGGAGCAAAAATTTGCATTTGGGTGGTGAAAACCACATTCCAAACATTCTCAAATTCTCATTCAACGTGTTCAGAAGACTCTGCATCCTGTCAGCGTCTTCACTTAATAGGACTATGTCATATCATCGGCATATTCTACGTCTAACGAAAATTCTTCAGTGACTAGGTCAACATCTATGTAATTATGTGACGAGAGGGTAACCTCCATAAGAATATCTATGATAAAATTGAATAAGAATGGAGACAGTGGGCATCCTTGACGGATAATATAGAAACAATTATACTAAAACTATACCCGTCACACAAGAAGTGGCAATCGTGGCTCGGTGGTGTAGTGGATAACGCTCTGACATTTGAAGTGATCTCTCCCAAGTACGAATCACAGTGAGAACAACGTCACTCACTGGGAAGCAGGTACATCCAGCTGACGAGTCCCAAATAGGACAAAATGCGCATCCTGGATTCCACTGCTAGCCACAATCCATCATTAATAGATTTTGTATAGTCCTAATTTTCTCTCCTTCTCTGTGATGATAAGGGTAGTAGAATTTTCCATATATCTGAGATAGGTGCAAAGGCATTTCTATAACTGAATGTATTTGGTGTGAGTTAATTCGATAAACAGCGATTCGGTTATCAAGCTATCCCTCCCCATTGTGTGGTTGTATGTTATTGTATACAGAGTTGTAGCCGAGCATTTCTCTAAATTCCCTATCTTATTAGAACCTAATAATCTTGATTAAGTTTTTCGCACTCTGTTACTCTAATCGACCCTGGTCGACTACTTTGACCTGTATATTTAACCTTGCTTAATTGCATCAATAGGATCTTTTAACCTACAAAGGTAGTTTTCTGGTTCAAATGCCACTTTAATTCTAGCCAGCTTTATTGAGAATTCTTCGTAATAATGGTGACAGATTTGAGGGAGAATTCAAAGCCTCTGCTGTGTTACCATACAAGGAACGCACCTCAGAAGCATTACGAAGAATTCTCAACAAGGCTGACTGTGATTAAATTGGGATTTAAACCAACAAACTAGCTTTGTAGGTTAAAAGTTCCTTTTGATGCAATTAAGCGAAATAATCTGGTTTACCGAATCCCTTTGCAATGATTGTAAGGTCAAATACATAGGTCAAAGTAGTCGATCAGGGTCAACTAGAATAACAGAGCGCAAAAACTTAGCTGAATCAAGATTAGTAGATCTTAATAAGACAAGAAATTTTAAGAAATCTCGGCTATAGCTCTCCATCCAATAACGCACAATCACACAGTAGCGTGTTATGGGGCGACAGTATTAAAAACTAACCTAGTTGGGTGGAGGGAGAGATTGATAACGGAATTTTCGCTTATCGAATCAACACCAAATACATTCAGGTGTTTGACCACCGTTGCCTTCGTAGTATAGGACGTATTCCGTGATGTCACCACGTGATTAATGCAGAAGTCAGGCTCAGGTGTAGAGTTTTAGGGAGGGAGAAGAGGTAAGTTAGTTGACGAGGTTATGAACCTTCATCGACTGAGATGGTTGGGACATGTACTACATATGCCTAGTCACCGATTGCCTCGTCACACGATGTTGGCTGAGGTGGGTCCAGGCTGGAAAAAGGCCCGAGGTGGCCAGACTAAAATATGGCACCAATGTATGAAGTCTCTGACTGTTGGTTTAAGCCATGTGGGGGGATGCAGACTAGGTGGTTGAGGTCCGTGGGACGAGAGGAACCAGTGGTTGGAGACTGACTGTAGATGAACACATGGTTGAGAACCGATGTCAGTGGAGCAGATGTATACACACATTATCCTCATCTTAAAGACGCCATACCGAATCTCACCATTTTGTCACTCCTCTTTCCTTTCTTCTCGTACTTTATATTTCGTTTGACTGCATTCACTTATCTTCAACCTTCACCTCACTACCTTTTTACTTGATGTGCTGATATGAGGTGTGGCAACTCGGACCGTTAAGCAGTAATGCCTGGTCCTATGTTGATAATGATGATGATGATGATGATGACATTCAGTAATAGAAGTGATTCGGCACCCGTTCTAGATATATGGGAAATTCTACTACTCATGTCATCACAAAGAAGGAGAGAAAATTAGGACTTTGTCAAAACGCTATCTCAAAGGTGTGGAGTTAGTTACCTAATATAAATATGGACAATAAATTATGTCCGAAACGTTATCCAGTACATGATACTCTTTCACTGTGTGACATACTGAATAAAGAGATTAAAATAGGATAACGATCTACCACAGTGTCCATGTTTTACTCATTTATCTTTTTTTTTTATGCAGCACTATGTTTCAAGTTGTTGACAATCGCAAGGCAAGTTCGTCATCGAATCACCGAGCATCATCCTTCATCGCTAAGTAAAGGATAAACCAGATCGATATGAAGCTCAATACTCTCACAACTGATTGAAACTGGCCACTGAGTTAACATTAATAATGCCTTTAAAGTTATTTATCATATTCCGTCTAACCTTGCCCATGCTCTACGAGTTCATCTTTTACATACAGCAGAAGTCATAGAAATCCACCTAAACAAGCCATGTCTCTGAGTGTTCAAAAGAAATTCGTACGGACTTTTTCTTTGCTTTGGCCATGGCCATTTGTATAGTTTATCCATTACAACAAGACCCTTCCTTTCATTCATTTCACAAATGATTATACCTAGTATTTGAATACCTCTACTAATGCTATTATTACTATTACAGTTTTGTTCCCCCCTGCTGTCAATATTTTGTCACCTTACGTAACAATTTATTTTCGCCCATTAGTAACCATTACACACAATATCAACGATGTAAGAACCTGTTTAAATTTTTCACCAAATCTTTCTACTATAATTCATCTATACTTTAGTTAATTGTCTTCATTGCCTGATCAATTATCATCCTGTGGATACTTTGAGATTGATAACCTGTTAGTAAACAACTCTCATAACTAGATTGGTATGTAATTTTACGTTTTGAAAATGTTACATATATATATTAGTGTAGAGCCATTGACGAGGAACTAATTGATAAGAAATATTTCTTCGCTCATATTGTCTGTTTTACCTTAAATTAGTTAGTGAATAAAAAGTAACAAGCCTTATGTTATCTAATCCAGATATCTGATCGAAATCTACAGACCATTTGAAATCTGTGGCCACTAAGATAGTAAGTTCACAAAACGCGATGTACTTTGATAAATGGTCACTGAAGAAGAGTAACCAATCAATGTATCTAGTCCAGTCTTACAGGAGGTGAGTTGCAGTCAAGACAACTTCAGTGGTAACGTCACTCACTACAGCAATGGGTAACGTGGGTTTGAATGTCTCAGATGAGATCAGTTCCCTTGAGGTTACAGATATCCCTTGCTGATGAGTGTCAAATAGTGTGAAGTATAGTTGAAGGAGAGCGCAGTATCGACTACCTCTGTACAAATAATAAATAACTGTTTGGTTGTGGAAATGGTAAATAGTCAACTTCAGTTTTATTTGTCTTAATGTTTCTTCGTTTACATTGATTGTTTTCACTAAATGTCTCAATAGGAATTCTAGCATTACAAGAAGAAGAATATAGCATATAAAAAATCGTGTGTAGACTGCTTAATAAGCTATCCAGGACAAACAACAAGATCTTTGAAAACCAGACTGAATGGAAATCAAACATTAACCAATAGCAGCTCACGACGTATGG